TTTTTTTTTTTTTTGTCGTTGTGAACAATCATAGTCTTAGAGTCAGAGCCTGGTTCACGCCTCTTTAAAGTTTCTGATGCTGTTGTACATTAAAATATACAACTAACTACTTTTTATTGTTATCAGAGCTGCAAAACTGAAAGCAATTTATTTATGTGAAGTTAAAGAATAAAGAAAAATGTATTCCACTGAAAGAAAAATGTATTCCACTGTTGAGACAATATTGGTTATTTATGTTAATAAACTTTTTATGTCATAAAACAAATGAATTAAACTTTGCGTGGCTTCAAGAAGCAAACCCACACTTTTATAATTTGTTTTATTCCAGTTTTAGTGTTTTCTTTTAATTTTTGACCCCCTTGAATTGACAGTTCAGTCCTGCTTCCAATTTGTTTTCTTTTTCCTTTTTTTACGATATTTCTTTTAATCAGGTTTGAAGCTGCTTGCAAGTAAAGACTCACTGCTGAAGATGTAAAATGTAAATATTGGCCTCATGCGTGGAAGTGAATCTTGCTCACTAACTTCTGAGTTTGACTTTAAAGACTTTCTATATGAGTGTCTTTTGCCTCGAGGGAGTTCCCCCTCCAATTTCAATGCAAAACAAAATTAAACATGCAGAATACAATATGTTGGTCATGGAATGAGATGGGGTACAGGGACAGCAGCATTCTGCTTTACAGTCAAGAATGATGAGGTGTACAGTCAGTAGTGTGGCCTCTCTGTAGCCTGTGGGTTTATTAATGTCTCGATGATGTCATCTTCCAGCCATGTGTCTGGGAGGATCAGTTCCATCATACAGCTTCATTCTTCTTTCCTCGTCCTGACTTTTACTGCCGCCTGTTTTTGCAGCTATCTGTTTTTGTTTGCTCATGCCGCTTTCTGCAGTTTGGCTGCGCTGATTTTCTCACAGTCTTATTCAGGTTTCACTTACTTTCTTGCTCATGTTCTTTTCCTCTTTTGTGCTCTGTGGTTTTTCTCACCATTTTCTTGCAAAGTATTCCACTAATTCACTATTCAGTAAAGTTCACTAAAGTGATTGTAGAGCGGAGAGGTTGTGTAAGAGATGAGTTCAGATGCACTCCTGGAACCATTAGTTTGATTGTAAGAGAAATCTTCTGTGGAGAATGGAAAGAATGAGGCCAGTTATTTACTCAGATGGTTTACTGGTGGAGGTGTGAGGCTGGCCAGCTCACTGTGGGAACACAACGCTTGCTTTTCTTGGTATCGCTGGCCGTTTTCAAGACCACAGTGTTTTTTTCGCCCCCAGCTCTCTCCAGCTTTGTTTGCTCTGGATGGCATGTTTGATTATTTATCGTAAGGGAAAAGGGAGTAGCTGGAGCAATAAACATGTGACTGCACTGTATTATGTTTTCCACTGAGAAGGCCGTGTCCTTTCACAGATATTCGAAGCAGCCATAGAGTCTTTTATTTGCTTTCTAGAGGGGAGGATTTCTGAGAGTAAGGAGGATCAAAAGCACAGATTAGGGTCTTTGACATTTTGTGTTTGCTGTAAGTGCAACTTATCAACAGAAAAATATTTCCTCTGGATGGCTGTGCAAGATTTTTTTTAATGCTTTTCTTTGTCTGTGAATTTATTTTAACATCCGTTAATTATTTATGCTCACCGTAGCTTTATGACTGAAAAGGAGAGTAAGAGGATTATCACCCGCTGCCAAAGGCGAGGCGATAACGTTTTGTGTCTGTGTGTGTGTTTATCTTTCTGTAGCGCTGGTAAAATGTGTCATGAACTATTGGRCAGATTTTTATTCAAATCTAAGAAAGTACCATAATCATTTTATATATCTGCAACTGGTTACCTTTGAAGTCAGTCCAATTCAACATGACCACCACAACTAACCAATCTTAAACAACACAAAAAAAATAAATGACTCAAATCAGACATTGAAATGTAATTCAGTGTTATTAGCTGAAAATAATTCCCATGGCACATTTCAGGTACGTACAGAAGACATGAGCGTTTGCAGTATTGCATGAGATTATGCATAGGCCTGTCACCATAACATATTTTGCTGGACGATAAATTGACTCAAAGTATTGTGACAAACAATTATATTGTTTGGAGACCATTTTAAACTAATATAATGATAGYCCTCGAGTTTTATTTTGAAGTTTATGAAATTTATGTACGTAAAAAAAGTTTACAAACTGAGCCAAACCACTGATTGGGAAAATAACACAAAATCCCTTCCCACCTCCTCTATCCAAGCCGGCACAATTTATTCTTTGCATCTTCCTCTGGCTTCACAAAATAACTGCAGTCACCCTCACGCAACTTAYGACATTTACGGAAGTTTACAAAATTTATATCAAGTTAAAGCTGGACCAACACAWAACAGCTACTGAAGCTGTAACATCACTTCCTCCTCTRTCCAAGCTGGCACACTTTATTCTTTTGTGTCTTCCTCTGGCTTCATAAAATAATTGTGATCACCTGCACACTGCTTATGACRTTTATAGAAGTTTATGAAATTAACATAGTGTAAAAAAACAACTCTTGGCAAACCCAAGGTCCGGCATGGTGTCTTGAGACATCATCAGCTAAAATACTGCGTTGGAAAACCGAAGACGCTCTTCTGGCTAAATGCCTGTCCACAGGGCTCTCATGCCATAGAGGTGATGAGACCATTCACATGGTAAATACCTGACGCCAGAGTTCACTCCTCCCTATGCTAACGAGCAGAAAAGAAAACAAACAAGCAGGCAAATGAAAATGATCAACCTCATTTTAATTTACCGTGCRATTAATTGATTTAATGCTTATCGTGACTGGCATATGCATAATGCCATTTACAAGCTTTGACTAAAACATATTTTTTTTTCTCATAAATGATTTCAGTTTATGTCTTTGGCATGAAAGTGGCAGGCAATATTAAATCCTTTAAGGGATGCTAGACCCTTACTTGTGTTTGATGCCTATCATTAGGCAAGTGGAATATTGCTGTAAAGGGCCACATGAAATAGCTTTGAACACTTTTTGTTTTTATTTCTCTCTCTCAGGCGCTCCAAGTGGCTCGGCAAATTCTTCTCCAACAGCAGCAGCAACATCAGCAGCAGCAGTCTCAACAAAACCTGGGCCGTAAATCCCCCAAAGCAAGCGAAAAGCAGCAGAGCCTGCAGGTAACATTATTATGTTGTCTTTCTCCGATACTTTCATGTTGCATATTAACACATTGTTTTCAGGCGGTTTCGCTTATTTAACTCTGTGGTTACCGAATTGAAAAAGAAAATAAAGAAAAAGTGCAGCTCTCGGAAAAACAAAATGTGCAAAAAAAAAAAAGTACAGCGCTGGTCTAAGTTCATAAACAGGAAATTAAAATTAGCAGTGCAGCATTTGCAGATATGTGTCTCCTGTGTTATGTGTGATTTAGCAGCGTGCACGCACACATTCGACCATCCAAATCTTGACAGAATTTGTAAAACAGAAATGAGCTTTTTACAGCATGAATCCAAGACTGTCAGAAAATAAGTGTATATATGTGTGTGTGTGTGTGTGTGTGTGTGTGTGTGTGTGTGTGTGTGTGTGTGTGTGTGTGT